CGGCGGCCCGCAGCAGCCTGTGCTGGGTGATTTGCTCGAAAGCTTGCTTTTTCAAGGTCGGGCAAGACGAGAGCACTTGAAAATCCGCGACCCTGGCACCATTCCGTCATGGCCGACTGGGCCCAAACCAGTCTAGCCGAACCGCGCCCAGCCGTGGCCCACCAGAGACCCGAAGTTCAAAGCCTGCCAAGATCGCGCCAGATGACGTCGGAGGCGTCCCTGGATTCTGGCGACACAATATAGCAGCCCGGTTGGCCGCAGACCCCCCGTCCTCTATAAAGAAAGACGATGTTCGCGTGGACGAGGGGCCACTCGCAGGTTGCTTCGATATCCATAGCCAGCTGGATGAGAATCCGGATGGCCTCATCTGGAAGATAATCCAACTGTCGGGGTGAGAGCGCATCGAACCCGCGCCCAGTCCGATGAGGGAAGGGGCGGAGGACCTTGCGCATCTCTTCGACAGAGGGCGCAGGAAATATGGGGCCTAAATCGCTGGGCCACTCTAGCTCGTCATGGGGCTCACCTATGCGCCACCATTCGCGCCATTCGTCAGCAAGCATGTCCATCTCCTGCTGCAGACTGGCAGGGGCGGGGACGAGCGTGCCATCTTCCTCGAAGCGGGGCGTGGCGTGCCGAGGGGTGTGCGGTCTCGTCGAAGCGAACAACGCGGCAGCACCATCGGCCGAATAATCGCGAACCCACTGCCGCCACTCGGACGACTTAACTGGCAGAGCCTTGCAATGCTCGGAGCTGGCCCTGACGCGCGCAGCGGGCGACAGGGCAGCAGCCGAGCCGTAGCACAAAACAGGCGCGCCGCAGAGCGCGCAAAGCCAAGCTCCCTCATGCCCAACAACGCTCGCCAAGGGAGGCAGCTTGGCTTCGCGCAACAGCCGCTTGCAACAGGCGAAGGCACTGCTGCGCTGCATGCTGGAGTGCCAGGAAGAGAGACAATGAAAGGCGTGGCCTGCACTTCGCCACCAGACAGCGACAGGGCTCAAGCGAGGCAAAGGAAGCCGCTGAGGAGCGCGAGCACGAACCTGATCCACCTGTAGTTCACCAGCACGCCCAGTGTACTTGGAGGCGTCCTTGTCGTCGATCTGGTACATGTCTAGAAACTGTTGCTCGACCATCATGGCGAGGGAATCCCGCTGATGCTGTGCAGGGCAGTTTGCATTCTCTTGGCGAAGCTGCTCCCACTTCGGATCCCAATCGCGACGCAGGCATCCAACGGGCCGTACATGCGGAAATCTTCGAGGAACACGCGCTTGAGCAACCGGAGGCACGCTGCTCGAAGAAACAAGCTTGAGCCGCGCAGGTTTGTGAGGTTCGGTGGCGACATGACTTGAGACATCAACTGAACTCCCAAACTGCAGGCTATTGTGAATCACGAAGTAGTCGATCGTCCTGCCACCATTCGCGGAGGAGCAGGTAGGAGTGGGCGGGGCGGCAATCACGGCATCGATGCTCTCGACCCAGACTGCCTTGCAAGTGATCTGGAGGAATCTGCCAATCACCTTGAATGACAAAAGGCATGCGGAATGATTTGGTAACTTCCCGAACTTGACGCAGTAGGGGCCAGCTTGCCGCTGCTAGCCCGACACTGTGGTGGAGGTAAAGCCCGAACCACAAGAAACCTCCTGGACACAAACCGCCAACGTGAACCACCGTGGCGCGCCCAGGTACGAGAACGGTGTCGACCGTCTCAACTTCGCACATACCGTATCCAGCCACCATCATACCCACTCCTCCAGTAACACCTTTACCTGAAGAAGAGACAATGGCTGGCGAGACCTTGGCATTCCATGCTGCTTTACGCAACCTGTGTTCGAGAGTTGTAGTGGGCATCTGGTGAAGCTCTTGGAAACAAGCAGCCTGGCACTTGCGAGCAGACGGATCAGCCACAGCTTCATCTCACCCCGCAAGACCAGACACGTTCGAGGTGATGATCTCGAACGTGCTACCCCCCAGCGTTGGAGGGAGCGGCCGATCCTGAGCCTGGCTGAGCGCCTCCATCAGCGCCCTTGGCCTTCTTGGAGAGGTGCCCCTTGGCGGCCTGCAACATCCCAACAGCAGCCTCGTGTTTGCATCCATGCTGGGTCTCGATGCTGGCCAGGAAATCTGGGTCACCGATGAGCACGTCGAGATCCATGTCGACAGCAACAGGCTGCTCGATCCCTCCTTGACCCTCGGCGGGGTCCGCGGCACCAGCCCGCTCAGCAGGAGGTGCAGGCGGAGGAGGAACGAGAGTGTAGCCCATCTCCGCGGCCATGTCCTCGAGCTGGGTTGAACTTGCGACGAGAGTCGGGATCATCATCGCTGGGCTCGACGAGCACCGACTTGGCCCACGCCCGGAACTGGGTCTCGGCAGGAGTGGGCGCCATGGATTGGAATGCCTGCGGGGCCCTGGCGGCCGCCTCTTGAGCCGCCTGGGTAGCTCTCGCGAGCTCATCCTTGGCGACTTGCATGGCCCGAAGAGACTCAGCAAAACCAGCAAGGGCGCGAGCATGCTTGCTCTGCGCCTGCTGCAGCTGGGACTGCGCCTCATCGTTGCCGATCCGAGCGGCCTTGGCGGCTGCACGCGGCTCCCCGATGAGGGTGGCACGCGCAACTCGTACACGACTCTTAGCCTTGGGGTGCCATCCCTCACTGACAACGTTGAAGGCCTCCTCGGCCATGGTGGCATAGTGGTGCACCTGCCGTTCGGTGAGGTTGGGCCCAGACGGCTTCGGGTTGAGCTGCGGTGGTCCGTTTCGCCACTGACCACGCGGCTGCATAGAAGGCCCGTCACCAGGCCGCCGAGGAGCAGGAGTGCCGCACAAACGACAGGTGGTGCGCTACGCATAGTTGTAGCGATATCCACACTTGCGAGAATGCGGACAAAACCAACAATCCATGCGGGACTGAAACGACTGTGAGAGGACAAAAGTGAGGACGATACCTCAATACAGTGTATGTAGGCAGTGAGGGCCGCAATCCCCTCGCACCAAACCCAAGTCCACTGAGCCACACGCTACGGACTTGAGCCAAAATGGCTACGGATCCCCCTTCTCCTCCTCCTCCTCCTCCTCCTCCTCCTCCTCCTCCCTGCTGAGCCGCCAGACCTCGTAGGACACGCGCCCCCGCAGCCCGCGCGACATCACGAGCGCCAGCGCCCTCCTCGGCAGCCGCCACCGCGCCCACCGCCGGCCCCCCCCGGCCAGCCCCGTGCGGGGGCCGAGTGCGGGGGCCGAGTGCGGGCGCCTCCCTCCCCGGGGAGGCGTCGCGGCGTCGAGGCGTCCGGGGGGGCCTTCGGGTTGGCCAGGCGGGGCCGTCAGGAAAATGACGAGAGGAAAAGCAAGAGCGGCATAAGCATAAGCTCGTGGCGCTGCGCGCGGATTTTTCTTGGGTCCGCGCTGGGCCCCCGTCCCTGGCGCGCGGAGCGCGCCAGGGGCGGCGCCACAAGTTTATGTTTATGCCGCTTCCCTTCTTCGAAAGAACCAGCCTGAAATTTGACGCGGGCTCCCGCTGCCAACCTCCCACGGGAGCCAGTGCGGGCCCGTCGAGAAGCGTCGGCAGATGCGAATTCCGGCGCTCTCGACTCTCACGTTTTCCCGAGGAGGAGGAGGAGGAGGAGGTGGAGGAGGAGGAGGAGGAGAAGTAGGAGTAGGAGTAGGAGTAGGAGTAGGAGTAGGAGTAGGAGTAGGAGTAGGAGTAGGAGTAGGAGTAACAGTAGTAGTAGTAGTAGTAGTAGTAGTAGTAGTAGTAGTAGTAGTCGTAGTAGTAGTAGTAGTAGTATAGTAGTAGGAGGAGGAGAGGAGGAGGAGGAGGAGGACGGGCATAGGAGTAGGAGTAGGAGTAGTAGGAGTAGGAGGAGGAGGAGGGAGAGGAGGAGGGAGAGGAGGAGGAGGAGGAGGAGGAGGAGGAGGAGGAGGAGGAGGAGGAGAGAGGAGGAGGAGGAGGAGGAGGAGGAGGAGGAGGAGGAGGAGGAGGAGGGGAAGAGGAGGAGGAGGAGGAGGAGGAGGAGGAGGAGGAGGAGGAGGAGGAGGAGGAGGAGGAGGAGGAGGAGGGAGGAGGAGGAGGAGGAGGAGGGCGGAGGAGGAGGAGGAGGCGGAGGAGGAGGAGGAGGAGGAGGAGGAGGGGGCCTGGCCTCGGTCCAAGCCAGGAGGGCCCACGCACCCGTCCAGGGCCCAGGAGGGGCCCACCCAGGGGCCAGCGGTGTGCGGGTGCCGGTCTACGATCTCCTGAAGTTGCCTTCCGTGCACGCCGCGGGGGGCAGGTACTCTGCGCCCACGGCCGCCGCGACGGTAGAGGAAGAACAACAACATAACCACAGTCAGCTTTCGGAGGTCCGCGCGGACTTCTTTGGATCCGCGCTGGATCCCCCTCCCTGGCGCGCGGAGCGCGCCAGGGGCGGCGCTGGGGGCGCTCCAGGCGCCGATGCGAGACATCCGCGCGGAGCTCCGAAAGCGTGTATGTGTGTGTGTGTGTGTGTGTGTGTGTGTGTGTGTGTGTGCGTGTGTGTGTGTGTGTGTGTGTGTGTGGTTGTTCCTTCTTCTATACTCGGCGGCGCGCCCAGGGGGAACGTGAGCGGGGGCAGGCCTCCTCAGCAGGTGGCGGGGCTTCTCAGAAGCCCTCTGGCCTGCTGAGAAAACCAGCTCTGTCTTAGGAGGAGGCTTAGACAATGCTCAGGCGGGCCGAGGCCTGCCGAGAGCCTTCTGAGAAGGCCCGCTCCCTCTGCATCCCTCGGCTACATGCAAGAGTGACCCTAGGCAAGAATGACCTTTGGTGCGCGGCTGTAGGGGACCGCGACGGGCCCAAGTCCACGCGCGCGGGCCAGTGCTGGGGCCACCCCTGTGAGCCCGCACCCAAGGCCACTCTGGTGAAAGGCCACTCTAACTCTGGATGGGGTATTTATCAAGGGGGGGTGATTAACCTCCCGACTGAGCTTGCCCAATCCCGCCCCCTCCGTCCTCCCCCCCTCCTCATCCTCCTCCTCTTCCTCCAACCCCCTCTCCACCCGTGCCGACAACACGTGCCCAACCCCCCTCCCAGCGGATTCAAGGGGGGGCGACTACTGTCGCATCCAGAGTACGCGTAGCCGAACACCCCCCTGGGCTCGCCGCCGAGACGACGGGGAGGACGTCGTTCTGGAAGCTCGCCCGCTGCTCCTCAGGGCTGGACCTAAACGTTGTTTTTCGTTATGTTTTCGTTATGTTTTTGGCTTTGCTTTACCTGTTTTCCTGTACCTCCCCCTCCTAAAACGTACAACAGAACACGGCCGAAGTGCAGGAAAATAGCGTTTAGGCTTAGGTCGGGCATGTCCTCCTGCAGGCGGATTCTGGACGAACAATCAAGCATAGCCAGACCATGCTCAAAAATAGCTAAACGTAGTTCGTCGAAACGTCGTCCCCATACTATTTTTTTGGGGACTGTTTTGGAGCATTCCTCCTGTGGAGGGACAGGCCCGACTTAAGCTTAGGCCCAGCCCTGCTGCTCCTCCGCCGACGCCTCCAGCGCCGCCGCCAGGGCGGCGGCGTCGCCGTGCGCGCGGGGCAGCAGCGACGTGCCAGCCAGGCGCAGCAGGTCCTCCCGCGGCCACAGCAGCGGCGTGTCCGGCGCGGGCACGGGCAGAAGAAGAGCCATCTGCGCAAACTAGAGGCCTCCTCCTCCTCCTCCTCCTCCTCCTACTCCTCCGAATAGATGAGGTCCGAAAAGATGGTGTCGGAGGATCGCGCCGCATCGCCGTTGCCCTTGTATCGACGATGTATCGGCGATGCGGCACGATCCGACTCGGACCTCATCGGGGAGGCCTAGAATGAACATGAACTGTCGACCTCCTCGTGTCGTCAAACAATCACGACGGGAACTCTTGGCAATTTTCAGCCTCCGGGGGCCCTCGCTGGAGCCCGTGGCCGTCAGAAAACGACTCGGGACGAAGGACTGGTCCCAGGAAATTTGCCCAGGCCTTCCGGGGTCCACATCGTGGATAAAAAAACACGACGTCGGAGGTCCGCGCAAATTTTTCTTCAGTCGGCGCTGGGCCCCCCTCAGAGGAGGGCGAATTGAAACAATGGCAGTTGGCCTTCGGGAGGGCCCTCGTCGCCACGCCTGGACGCAGCTCGGAAGAAATCAGTGCGCCTGGACACCGGGAGGGGGGTCCGAGGGCCGATCTCCAGAGCTGCCGTGGTCTCAGCTCGCCCTGCTCCAAAAAAAAACAGACACTTTCGGAGGTCCGTGCTAGCTTCTTGGATCGGCGCTGGGGCGCCCTCCCTGGCGCGCGGAACGCAGGGGCGGCGCCCGAGGCGCCGCCAGGGGGGCCAGGAGGGCCCAGAAGCGAATCGACAAGTCGGATCGGCGACAGAAGTGAATCGGATCGGCGGAGATCGGCAGCCGAGTCGGGAGGGGTCGGATCGGCGGAAATCAGCAGGCCTCCATCGAGAAATCGGAACCCGAATCGGAATCCGAAATCGAATCGAATCGGAATGGGCAGCCGTCGGAATCGAATCGACTCGGAGGAGTCGAGACGAGCCCTGGCATAGGGGGGGCGCCCCACGCCGAGCCAAGCAAACCTGTGCAGCTGCTCGTGCCGACGTCTCTTCTTCGCAATGGCTACCAGGTCGTCGAAGTACGGCGAGCGCGGCGAGGCCACGTGGCTCCTCGCTGGCGACACAAATCATCCCGGCCGATCCTTAGGTCGGGCATGTCCCCCTACAGGCGGATTTTGGACGACAAATACGAAATACTCGAACAATGCCCCAAAATTGTCAGAGATAATCGAAGAATCGTCCCCATAGCATGTTTTTGACTATTTTTGGAATATTCCTCCTTGAGAGGGACAGGCCCGACTTAAGCCTATCCGCGGCCTCGCGGGCGCCGGGCCCCTGGGGCCGCGGCCCCGCTGTGGCTGGGGGGGGCGTTTTGTCGCGGAGGCCCCGCGCAGAACGCGCCCGTGCGACCGCGTATCCGCGCCCCAGAATCCAGACCACGAGGGCGCGGATCGGCGACACGCCAGAGGGACGGAGGGAGGAGGGAGGAGGGAGGGAGGGAGGGAGGGAGGGAGGGAGGGGAGGAGGAGGAGGAGGAGGAGGAGGAGGAGGAGGAGGAGAGGATGGAGGAGGAGGGAGAAGGACAAGGAGGAGGGAGGAGGGAGGGTGACCTTGGGGTGCGCGGCCTGTGGCGGCCCGCGGGGCGGCCAAGAACGAGCGGGCAGCACGCTGCTGCCGCATCGCGTTCGGCGATCGGGGAACCCAAGTGGGCCCGCACCAAAGGTCTCCTCCTCCTCCTCCTCCTCCTTCAACTCCTCCTGCAACTCCTCCTCCTCCTCCTCCTCCTCCTCCTCCTCCTCCTCCTCCTCCTCCGGCGAAGGGTCACTCATGCGTGTAGTCGAGCTTCCGCGGAAATGTTCGCGGCTCTCGTGGGCTCCCGTGCAGGACGGTCAGGGCCAGCGCCAGCGCCCTCGAGCACTCGCCCGCCTCTCGGGGGGACCGAAGTTCGGGGCGCACAAACATGGATTAGCGATCCATGGATTTGGCGCGCGGTCGCCAAATCCATGGATCGGGGGAGGTGCCCTCTCCAACATGCGGCCGGTGCCGCCTCGTTCGGCGGCGGAGATCCGCGCTGTCCCGAGGAAGCGGGGCCCGCCGCTAGCCCACGCCCCCTTGATCCATACTTGCGATCGCCTGGGAAATGGGTACGGAAACATTTGTTGGTAGTTACAGTCCAACAACACCGCGTTTTCATTCCGAACAGGATTCGCTGTCGGCGTCGCCGTTGTCCATCTGAGACAAAAGCTCGCCTGCCCAACAGCCGCCGCTGTCGGTTTGGGACAACACTTGCTGTTGCGCAACGTATCCGTGTTTGAAGGGGCCCAGGGACACACCAGTAAATGCATACATCCCAGGATCCCCCATATTCTCCATACATTCTGAAAGTTCGTCTCCCCCTCCACTTCCAACCCTTTCCGCACTCCCCTGGGAATCGACGATCACTCACACACACATATATACATATATTTATATATATGTATATATATAGATATTCACATATCTAAATGTATATATGTATATGTGTGTATATGTGTGTGTGTGTGTTGATATGTGTGTGTGCCCCGCTTGCGGGGCTGTCCGCGCCAGCATACTCTGGTGCTGACACTGTCCGCCTCTAAGTGGCCTCTTCTTCCTCCCCCCCTCCGCGGCCGCCTTGCGCGGCCCAGCGGCCCGCGGCCGTGGGCGCGCTGCCGAGGTTGCAACGCCTGCGAGTACAACGACCGCTTGGACCCCTACACGCCCGTCTGCCCGCGCTGCAACAGGCCTGTACGTTTCCACCGAGGCCGCTCCAGGAGCCCGAGCGTGCACTTCGGCGACGCCGAGACCATCGACGCGAACGGCGACGTCACCACCCAGCCTGTCAGCGCTGGCGGCCGCCCGCGCTCTGCTCAACGCAGCTCTCTCGCCGACCACCCGAAGCAGGCCCTGGCCATCGCCGACGACCCCGCGTTGCAGGCCGTCCTTCAGGCCCAGGTGCAACGCCTCGACGCCGCCGAGGACGTGCCGCCACAGGTCAACGAGGTCGAGGCCATGCGCAAGGCCGACAGCGCCTGGCGCGCCGCCACGAATCATCATCAGCAGGTCGTAAGCAACGTCGTCAGGCTCCGCAATGCGTTGTCCGCGGCCGAGGAGAAGGAGCAGCTCGCCGCCCGCGAAGTTGCTCGCAACGAGCTCACCAAGCGGAGAGCGGCGGAGGCCCTCGCTCGTGCCGAAGGGGTCGGCGGCGGCGCACCGACCCCCAACGTCGCGGGCGCTCCCGACTCCGACAAGCCGTTCACCGTCCATTGGGGCCCTGACCTGTTCCGCCAGATCGACGAGCTCGACTTCACACCGTCCGAACAACAGGAACTCAACGCGGTCCGTGCAGGACTCGAGGAGCTTCAGAAGCAGTTCGCCACCAAGGGCCCCGAGGTCACCGCTCTCATCCAGAGGGCGCGCCACATCCGCGAGATGCAGGAGGCCAGGTACCAGAAGAAGCGCAAGGGCGAGGACGGCGCCGCCAGCGCACCTGCCCCCTCAGCGCAGGGTGCTGCTGCCGGCACCCCCCCGCAGGCCCCGGGCGCAACGGCCGCCACTGCAGCCGCGGGCGCGGAGGCCACGGCCAACGACAGCGCCGCCGCTGACGCCGCTGCCAAGGAGGAGGCCATCAAGGCGGAGGCTGCCAGGCTCTCAGCCGCGCGCTTCGCAGCCCAAGCCGCCGCCGAGCAGGCCGCTGCCACCAAGACCGACGGCGCGGAGGACGTCAAAGGCAAGGGTAAGGTTGAGGAAAGGTTAAGGGAGCCAAACCCAAGGCCTCGTCGTGACTAGCTTCCGAGCCACCAACTACCAACACTAGCGGAGAGGTGGTGTCAACTACCCCGTCGAGTACATGTACTACACTCTTCTATGGGAATGTCACCTGCATGTGTCAGAAGGTCCACGACTGGATAGAAGTCATCGTTGGCCTAGTCGAGACTCGCATCTCCGACGACGCCAGCACCGCCCAGTGGAGAAGTCGATTCCGAGACATCAACAGGAGGCTCTTCGCCAATCCAGCCCGCCCTGCGACGCGTGACCAGACATATGGGAGGCCTGATTACTTAGGAGAATCGTGTGCCGCGCCTGATTACGCCAACGACGGCGGTGAATGGTTCTTGCCCAAAGGCCACCTGGGAGCTCGCCCTCTTCTAGCTGGAGTCCAAGCCAAGGGGCTCGAACTTCTCCCCTCCTCCTCTAGCCTTGATGGGTTCCTCCCTGTGGTCCTCCACTTCAAGGGGTACTCCATCGTTGCGGTTTTCTTTTACGCGCTGTGTAGCATAGGCCTGCGAGGGCCGAACCTCCCTAGGTTCAGACGTTTTGGGGGCCTCCTTAGATCCCTCCAGCTGCCCTGGTTTGTAGTCGGCGACTGGAACACCAGCCCCGAAAGGTTGCAGCGTGCAGGATTTCTGGCACAGATCCAAGGAGAGATCATGTGTGCTCCCGTCGAATGCACGTGCGACCCTGGGGGCGGACGTAAGCTATCGCATTTGGATTTTGTTGTTCACAGCGTTGCTGCCCGCCCCTGCATTTCCAGCGTTACTGCGGTACACGAAGTGCCGTGGAAGCCACGCCTAGGTTTGCGAATCCATCTCGTTTCCTCGGGTGAACAACTGCTCACCCGAACTTTAGGTCTGCCCCGACGGCTGCCACATGCCGTCAAGCCCCCTCGAGGCGCCACCCCAGGCTCCAAGGCCAGCCGTGCCCGAGCCGCTCGTTCCGAGCAACGCTGTAAGGTGGAGGCCCAGAGGCAGACCCTTTTGGATGTTCTCTACGGTGATCTCGAGGCGGGAGAAGACCCCGCTGAGCAGACCACCAGTGCAGGGGAATCCTCGGACGAACCCGAGGAGCAGCATTTCAAGTATCCCTCCGATGAGGAGGAGGATCCGTGGGCGCACGAGAGCAGCTTTGCGCCAGCCGAGCCTCAGTGTGCTTCGAACCCCGCGCGCGGAGAGTCAAACGTCTGTGCCCTGTCTCGTCAGATCACGTCTGCATCGAGAGAGAATGCCCAGCTTGTTTCATCCGAGCCGTGCTCTGCTCTCTCTGCGCCCGACGCCCCGCCAGAGGGCGCCGCCCCCGCTTTCTCTCATGCCTTCGCTGTTTCTCAATCTGATACAGTTGCTACAGTCGAACAATCAGTTCCTAATGTAAGTTCTGGTTGTGATTCGGCCCAGCGTGAGAACCCCCCCAGCGAAGATACCGCCCCAAGGGAAACGCCTCCGTGCCACATTCGAAGCCCCGAATTCGAAGTCGATAGTGCCACCTGGTGTGCCCACAGAGAACAAATCAGCGTCCTGCCTGCGGGATGCGCCCGCCCTGCTTCTGCGGTTGCTGGCTCCGTAGCGTTTCGGCTCAAACCCGACACCTCGCTTCAGTTGGGCCGAATCTACGGCTCCTGGACCACGACCGTTGAAGCTTCTGTGCGCTCCCATCGTCGGATTCCATTGGAAGGCGCCTCGCGAGCAGCAAGCCCAGAGTATCAGATAACCGTTGTTCGAGAGCTGCAGTGCAGGCGAACGTCGCCAATCGCGGACACAGATAGCACTTGGTGGACATCATTGCACGCCCTACTGCAGGCCATCTACCGACGCCGTGCGCGCGACAACGGACGCCTCCAACTCCAGCAGCAGTGCAGAGCAGTCGCCAAGCTCACTGACTCCCCACCACCCACGGTGCCAAACATCATCGGTGACAAGGACGACCTCAGTTGGGACGGCTGGCAGATATTCTCACGACGCATTCCCGAGCACAACGTCGACCACATCGTTGCCCACGCCACCAGAGCAACACGACTCGCACGACGAGCGCAGCAACGGGCAATACAACGATCTATCAACAACTTCCGCGACTGGGCTGTCGACGCCCTCGGCACGCTGCACAGGTCGCTCAGACCCCAACCGCAGCCGGCAGAGTTTGCACCGACGGGCACAACACCATCATGCACCCCAAGGACCTCATCGACGGCAAGCTCCACACCTGGCAGAAGCTCTGGGCACCAGATGACGCACACATCACCCAGCTTCAGGGCAGCTTCCAAAGTATCGTCGAGTGCATCCAGGAGTGCAGCCTACCTCCCATCACCAACGACGAAATACGCGAAGGCCTCAAGAAGCTCAAGGCCAACACGGCACTGGGCGCTGACCGACTACGACCTTCCGACCTACTCCGACTACCTGAGCCCGCGCTCGCCGAGCTCGCCGAGCTCTACAACGCCGCCGAGCAGATCCAGATGTGGCCTCGCCAACTCCTGTACACGCTGGGCGTCATGAGGGCCAAGAAGGACAACGGCGACATAATCCTGGGCTTGCTCACCATCATTACCCCCCTGTGGTCCATGATACGAGAGCCACATGTGCAGCAGTGGAACCACGACACGTTTGCTCACTGGGATGCCATCGCTAAGGGCAACTCCGCCTTTCGCGAGGCCTACGAGCGTAGCCTGCACGAGGAGATCACAGCACGGCTCGGAGTTTCCCAAGCCCACGGCCTGCTCGACATCTCGCAGTTCGATGACGCCATCCACTGGACCACCCTCATCGACGAAGCTTTAGACCTCAACTTCCCGCCAGAAGTACTTGGCCTCGAAGTCCTCCAGTGCATGGCCCCACGCTCACTTACGCAGAGTGGAGCCTACGCCGAGGCCATACTACCAACGCGGTCCGTCGTCCAAGGACTGCGATCAGGTACACGTTTCGCCGAGATCATGACTTTCGAGGCGCTCCAACGCATCGCCACCGTGCACCTTCATGCCCACCGCCGCATCTGGGTCGACGACCTGTCGCAGCGCATGCAGGCCAGCCGCCAAGCTCTCCGCAAGGTTATGGTCAACGTCCTCACCGACACCTGCAACGCGCTCCAGGACCAATGCCTCGCTATCGCCAAGAAGAGCGTCGTCATGTGCACCCGCGCCCAGGGCGCCAAGTACATGGCCAGATGCATGAAGCACCGCGGCTTCCACATCCGGCCCAAACACCACGCCGCCTACCTGGGTGTCGACCTCAGCTGCGGATCACGACATGCGCGCCAGACCACCACGCAACGGAGACGACGACATCAGAACTTGCACGACAAGATCATACGCATCGCCAGAGTCACGAAGCGATGCCACCTCACGGCGCGACTCGCCACGCAAGGTGGCCTCGCCGCCGCCACATGCGGCCACCGACTACACGGAGCGTTCGGGACCACTATGACGATCTACCGACGACGACTTGGAGACGCCATCGCCCCGCCATTACGCGGACGCTGCCTCGCAACCCTACTCGACCTGCGCGCCAGCGCCAAGGGTCCAGCACGGAAGCTACCACATGAAACATTCCAAGCTTGGCTCGCCACATGGATCGCCAGCCCCCACCTGCATCAAGCCATCCAGGCCACTTGGGCGCAAACGGTCAAGCACTTCCAACAACTACCACCACAGCGTGGAGTTCGAGATGTTCGAGGTCCGCAGTCAACCATCATCCTCTACCTAATGCAGATGGGCTGGGCACCGACACGACCGAATCAGTGGCATATTCCCGACGCCCTCACCGACGCCAACGACTCCTGGGAGTTCGACGCCGACCAACTCTCAGGTTACCCCGACGCCGACATCCCACGCCAACTCCTCGACGACATCGACAACACCATCCAACTCCAGCTATGGCAGCAAGCCAGCAAACACCACGCTGGCGAGGGACTTCAGGAGGGCGCAGGCAACACGTCTTACCGCAAGAGCCTCGCCCATCCCGAAAGAATGCCACAAGGTGTTCGACTTGCTAACCTCATGCTCACCATCGCCACTGGGGCCATGTGAACACGCGGACGCATCGCAGCTGAGACGGTCTCACCCGACGTCACTGCAGAATGCCCACGATGTCGCAAGAAGTCGAATATGACTTTCACCGAGCCTGGGGATGTGAGTGCGACAGCAGCGACAACCCAATCATTCAGAGCACCAACAACCTCATCGGAGAAGCCACCACGCAACGACATCTCTACGAATGCTTTTGGTTACGAGGTATCATCCCACGGAGCTGGGCCGCCATGCCACCACCAGCAGAACGAGCACAATGGACATGCTACAGCTTCGAGCAATACGACATTGCCTGCCTAGCCGGCCTCCCTGGAGATCCAGTGTATGCCTTCGGCGACGCAAGCGGCGGTCAGGATGCCAGCAACAGTGTAGTGCGACGGGTCGGCGTCGCCGTCAGCTTTTTTCAAGACCTGAACAGAAACGAGATGGACATAGATGCGGCCTACTGGGGACCACTCCCTGGACGGCGACAGACAGTGGCACGCGGAGAGTTGCTCGCCATGGTCACAGCAATCGAGTCCACAGAAAAGGACATCGTGTATTTCACGGACAACCAAGGCTGCTACCTCAACTTCACAACGGACACGCCACTGAACCCCATGGGGATGACGGCGACTTATGGCTCCGACTTCAGCGCGCCCTGAAACGACGAGCAAGACATGCCGCAGTGTTGTGGATACCGTCTCACATGAAAACAGCCGACATTGTGCAGGGCCGACTATCCTCATCCCTCGCCTACGGCAACTGTGCCGCCGACGTCCTCGCGGGCATCGCCGCCGACGAGGCACGTGTCGGCACCAGTGACCGCCAGCGGCTTGCGCTGGTAGAGCAAAAAGCGTATTGTGTCCGACTGCGACAATTGAGAACTGCTCTTGAAGCCCTAGAAGCCGAGAAAACCGAGTTTCAGTGTTCTGGGGTGCGGAGACCTAGACGGCAAAAGGGGAAGGCTGCCTTCAAGCCCCCCCCGCCCCGAAGCTCTGTGCGTTTTTTTGGTCCCAACACAGCGTTGACCCGACAGGCTCCAAGTGCAGTAGGTGCTTTAGCAGCTCCAGCAAGGCCACTCGGACCTTTTGGTTACAGACCAGCTGTTTCGAACTCCTCAATGTCAATGACACATATAAGGAGGCCCCCCCATGGGTATGCAGGTACATATCGCGGGGGGTTTTGTTCATTCGAGTCACACTTTGAGGTTCCACGCTGGGCTGCAACTGTGGTTCTATTCCCATTGCGGAGCATACCTTCAGAAGCTCCTCGGGGAACTCGGGGGCCCCTGCGAGCAACCCACTAGCACGGGGAAGGAATACCTAAAGCGGATTTCCGAAGGACTCTGGCCGAAGGTCCTCAGTCGAGCTGAGACGACCACCAGAGTCAACAACACCCTAAAGAGGGTGGCGGCTGTTTAAGTTTCCCACATCGCTACACGATCAGGCAGAGACTCCAGAGACTCCCCGTTTCCCCCCCTTGCACGCTGGCCAATTCGCTCCTCGGCGCCCCAGTCTGGCTCTCTCGCTGGTGCAGCCAACTCTGCCTCGCCGCCGACGAAACGAGGAAGTGTGTGTGTTTTTATATATATATATATATGTATATATATGTGTATGTATGTATATATATATATAAACATGTATGTGTGTATGTGTGTATATGTGTGTGTGTGTGTGTGTGTGTGTGTGTGTGTGTGTGTTTTGCTCCCCTTCAGAATTTTGGGCGTCCAAAGCCTCGCACAGCTGCGCCAGCCGCGGGCAGCCGGCCCCGGCCCGCACGGCCAGGGCCGCCGGCAGCCGCATCAGCTCCTCCCGGGGGTGTGCAGACCTGGGCCCGTGCGAACCCAGGACGGCCAGGCTCTGCAGGATCCTGCAAGGTCCTCCTCCTCTTCGTCGTCCTCCTCCTCCTCCTCCTCCTCCTCTTTCCCTCCTCCTCTTTCCCTCCTCCCCCGCCTCCCCGTCCTCCTCCGCCTCCTCCTCCCCTCCCCTCCTCCTCCTCCTCCTCCTCCTCCTCCTCTTCCTCCCCCGACCCGTGCGGACCCAGGCCCTGCAGGATCCTGCAGGGTCTCCTGCGCGCTGCCCCGGCTCAGTGCAACCCTGGCTCTGCAGCAGGAGCCTGCAAGATCCGGCGCCTTGGCTGCCCCCCGTTTGCATTGACCCCCGTCTCTCGAGTGAGGTCGGGCATGCCCTCCTACAGGCGGATTTCGGACGAAGAAGAAGAAGAAGCAATGATCCAAAATTGCGAAAAACAAGTCGACACAATGGTCGAAAAATCGTTACCATTTTTTTGACTAGAATCTTTCTCCTGTAGAGCGACACGCCCGACTTGACTCTCGAGCCCCGATCCTCGCGAGGAGGAGGAGGA